GTCTGAAGGCGATCGACTGAAATTCGGATCGAATTGAAATTCCAATTGATTTTCGCTTGTTTCGACAGTCCAATTAAAGGTCTATCGAATCTTTGGCGTGAAATGTATGAGCTTCTTGATTGGGCGAGTGAATGTTAATTAAACTAATTTTTCCTCGACGCTAGAACCACGATTAAGGCGTAAAATCTCCGTCAGAGACGTTGAAGTGAAAAAAAAGAAAAGAGATAGGAAAACTTTACAACAGGGACAACAAGGCTCTATTTATATAGATTTCACGAAAAATTTTTTAAGATATACTGTTTCTAAATTTTTTTAAAGTACACTGTATCTGCAAAATGTATCTAATGAGATTTGTAAATTGGTCAGTTTGATAGCGGTGATGTTAATGCTGTGAAAATTGAACTTTTGTATAATATTTTGTAACAAATTAACAACAAAATGTACGATAGGCAAAGAAATAATACGATAACATGACTCGAAAGAAATCTACATTTTGTTCAACAGTAAATTAATGGTAAGGAATAATCAAGTGCCACTATTTATTTATGATTCTGATTTTTTATTAATATAAAACAAAATATACGTAAATGAAATTAGTAAGTAAAATAAACATTCTTACTACTTATTGTTTCTAGAAAAATCTTTTCCCTAAAAATTTTAGAAATATTACTAGAAAGATATTTTTCCCGCCAAAGTGATTAATAATTTATTTCAGAAGCTAATGTGCATGTACGATTTATTTTGCATATTTAAATTTTAAATTTCTCCAAAGGAATTTAAAGAAAAAAAAGAACGTATACTATTTCATCAATTTCCTCCACTTCTCGTCCAGCGAAGTTAATCAATTTTGCAAATGAGCGGCTCAAATGTAAGCGTCAAACTTTATAGAACAGCTTTGTAATTTACGAAGTTCATTATCCTCGGCTTGTACAGCTTTCAAGCTACAGATAAGACAAGTCTTATCTCTTAAATTGACAGAAAGTCTATTAATTCTAACCGCTCTGAAGAATTAATATGCAATTGTTAAAAGTTACCATTTTTGATGAAACACATTTCCTCGATCGGGAAAATTAAATTTATTCCTATTAAAATGCACACGCCGGTGTATATTTATTCTTCTTTATTTTCAAAGGTCGTGGCGTTCGAAAATTACCTGGAGCTTCAGTTTGATGACCTCCTTGGTTATGTAGCCGATAATTTCGTCGTAATCGATCGCCGGCACGTCCACGTCGGGGAAAAGATCGCTGGTGATGCCGAGGAACAACGGCAAGTCGTCCGAGGTGAGTTTAGCGATGTTCATATCCTTCATGGCGAGGATGATCACCTACGTGCGTTTCATCTCATAGAGTTTCATCATTCTAACCGTTTAACAGTTTCACCGATCGCGATCTAATGCTCGATCGAACGATCCCACCACACTGATCGCGGTAAAGCGACCGGATAAACGTAGTCGCGTAAGCCTCGAAGCTATCTCGGGGACTAGACGGCTTGTGGTGACAGAGAGTAGAAACTGGTTTAGGCAGACGAGTATAAACAAGATGGTAACCGAGAGAAAAATGGCCAAGTAAAGCGATCAGGGCTAGGATCGACTGTTGCGTGAAACAACGGAGGGTTCGGGCGATGGAAAATTGAATATTTTTGGGTGGTTTTGTTGACGAAAAGGGAGATAGAAAAGAGAGTTGGGAATAAAATATTCGAAGGTTGAAATCTATGCACAAGATCGTGAAAATACATCTGTAAACATATTTTGTGAATATATAATATAATGTAAATATAACCAAAAATAATATAATATATTTATGATCATGTTGAGAGGATATATGTGTTAATGAAGTTTCATGTAACACATACAATAGAGTGTTTTACTATAGACTAAAATCAATTACGTTCTCCTTCTTGAACATGGGCACAATGTTCCTTTTAACATCAAAACTTAAAATATCGTTTCTCAGAAATTTATAATAAATAATCCTCTTTCAAATCCGCAAGTTTCTACAGAACCTAATATCTGTACATTTAAATTATCGTTGAAACTATATATTATATTTGAATTACATATATTATTCGTTAAAAACAGAGCAAGCATAACTCACTTCCTCGTCCGGAAGTTTCGGATAAAGTCTCTTCTTCCTCCCTGCGTACCTCGTCAAAGTCACTATTCCCCTCAATCCAAAGTCATAATGATACTGCTTGCTTAACTGTTGCTGTGCCAACGTGTACAACGTGAAAACCTATGGAATGAAAAAAAAAAAAAAA